TGTGAGACCACAATCGGTCCATGGTCTTCGGTTTATTGTAAGTAGTTATGTTATGTTACCATTCAAATCCCTTAAATGCATGATTTATTAACAGAGAAGTCGAAAAATACCGTTTTTCTCACGTCTAAACACATGAACGCTACTGCGGCAGACACTAAACAAAAGAAAACTGAAGTCATCTAAAACAAGAAGAAATCGTCCTTTGTCTTCTTTTTGTTATGCGATTCATTTATCTAGCAGTAATTTTGTTTTGTGATTCATTTGTCTATTAGAATAATTTTTGACTATTTGCCGTCCTCATCGTGTGTAATTTTAGGGGAAAACCACCCTTCGAAGTGGTAATAAGCGCGCTCTATAAAGCAGCAACTGTTACTTGCCGAATTATGTAACCAATTTCGAATTATTATTGGCCACAAAAATTCTTTGTCAACGATGCACATGTCGACGGGTCTTAATTTGCCATATAATAACTGACCGTGAACACATAACTTCCCCATTTTACGCCCCATGCAACCATCATGTACATACATGTAGAGTTACACACAGACTCGTGTATAACAACTGACTATTCATCCGAAAAAAGTCGAAGATTAGTGTGTGGTCACAATTATTGCTACTATTGTTTTTACTCACTTGTTTTTCGTACCTAATTCTTTTATTTTGCTCTTTCATTCTATTGTTTAACGAATAAACAAACGAATGTAGGATTTTGTTGTTTGCTTGTTTTGTTCCGGATTAGGTAGATAATTTTTTCAGGCATTTTTCAGGCTTGATCGGTTTGCCTCTGTTTCCGTAAACTTTATCCCAATAACGTTTGTATTGTTATTAGTATTTTTTATTGTCGTTCGATTTTATCGATTTCATCATGATGCCGTCGCGTCGCCTTCGTTGGGTCGTTGCGGTTTCACACAACGCCGCGGTTTCGTCTTTCCCTATATATTTTCTCCCAAGTTTCAGCTCGTTAGTCATTCCGGTTGGATAGAACCAAACAAACGAATGCAGTTCTGGATCGCAAAATAGCACTCGTCTAGTTACTAGCTGACGTGCTATCGCATTTAATAACCGTAAAAATGAGGTTTTAACGTTATCAGGTCGGATCAATTCGGTGGTTACTTTTAGAAACCGAATAAAAATAGGAATCGGTTTTGTTCCAACCCATGACGACTTCCTCGTGGTGTAAAATGTTTCGCAAACGTTGCCAAAACCGAAAACCATCAAGTATTAAGGAGAAAATTTTATTTTCTCCGGCTCGCACACGTCTCTATCCCGGGGTGCCGTTTTGAAGGGCGCAGTTCCCTTTTCACGGAGTTTTGTGAATGACATGGACGTGTGGTATGTTGGAAATTTCACAAAGGGGTGGGCGTAACTGGCGTCTGTTACAATGTAAAACTAATTCGCAAAGGGGTTAAAAGTTGTCGGGACATCTTAACAGGTTCCCTCTTTCCGAATGGCCTATGTCGATAATGTTGTCAGGGAATTTTTTAAAGGGTTGTTTATGCCCCGCTGAACCCGTAGGTACCTGATTAGCATCACTTTTTACTTTCGAATTTCGTCACGCCCTAACTAATGTGTGTTGACGGTCTGGTAAAAAGCCAATTATTCCGCGTGGGGGTGTTTTTAATCATCCTCAAAGGGTCGTCAGTCTTAACATTGGTTGGACATGCACCTTCACTTTTTCCAAAAGTGGAACATCCCATATACTTTTTTACTATTTATGAACAGTAATCTAATCTATAGGGTTGTTCGGAGTCATTTGGTTTTTTTTTTGTGGAAATGAAAGACAGTTTTCGTTGAATAAACAAATACTTTATTAAATTATATATTGACCGTTCTGGTCCAACACTGGTGGTAGCATAATTCCACGCTCATAAAATTTTTGGTCTTTGCTGGCAAAAAACTGATCGAGTAGGTTTTTGACCTCCTCATTTGAGGTGAAGGTTTTACCGTCTAAAAAATTTTGGAGTAAAAAGAACAAATAATAATCCGATGGTGCCAGGTCTGGAGAATATGGTGGGTGTAGCATTGTATCCCATTCAAGCT